CGTTAATGGCGGTTGTCTATCGTTAGGTCAAGGCGCGGCGACGCGCATATTTGCGGAACGCCGCGTGCGATATGCTCGCGCGACAATCAGCTCGACAGATACCCTTCTTGCTCTCATCTGCTCTTGCAGGCGCGTGGTATATTAGCGTATCTGCGTCTCTGCTGATTCCCGCGCCAAACAAACAAATCGGATGCCGCACAAGTGCGTGCGTCGCCGCGCTGTGACCTAACGATGCACACTTTTATTGATCACTTAGCTTAATCAGCACTACTGCTATAGCCGGTATTCGTTCGTATATTTAAATTAATCTTCTACAATTATTTGTTACGCTTGGAAATGAATATGATGCAGCGCGAAAAAAGTTTGGAGCCGAGTTCTGAAAAAAAGAAGTGTTGCGACTTGGGGTAGCTCAGCGTGGAGGGCAGCCACGGGGAAGGACTTCTCATAAGGGCCCGATGTACCAGTAGTCTGTAGCCCTTCTCCGTAGTGTGTTCCTCCCCTCCCTCAAGTCACAAGCTTCGGACTTCGAACCTGACCCCCTCGTGCTCAACGTCCTACTGTACTATTGAGTAAGATCTGATCACCAACTCCTCACAGCGAAGGCAGTTCGTATGGACTGGGAGTTGTTTTCTCTTCTCTTATACTCACACAAAGCAAAGATCTCACTTCGGGACAATGGTATCCACCGGTGGTTGCCGTGAAAGTTTTCTTTCCTGAAAAGAATCTTCATACCCTCATTCATCTACGCCAGCCCTGGGCAGGGGAAATCTCCATCCACTCAAATTTTATTGAAGAAAAATCTCCTGACTCTCCTGCTATTGCGCAATCCCGCGCGGTCGCGAACTGGGTTAAGAGACTTAAATGAACTAGAACTGAAACAGATCAATGAGACGTACGATTCCGTGTCGGGGGCCGTGATCGTCTGTAGTAGTGATTGGTTATGGACTTTTCTGATATCGACGATTTCTTCACCATTGGCTCTGTACTAGGTGGACTAGCAGGTAATAACTTCCACTGGATGTTCTAACGGCCCACGCCCTAACATTGTCGCGCCATGACAGAAAGACGTAAGGGAAGAACTGTCCTCTGGTGTCAGTCGAGGAGGGAAGGCTAGTGGAATATTCGGGAACTGAGGGTGGAGGACAGTCTGACGTGACGACAACATGGTGAGTATGCTATTAGATCAAGGCCAGTGCTGAGACATAGATAGATGCCATCACCGGAGAAGAAAGTGGCTTAAATGACTGGGCCACTCTCGAATCGATGCCCAGGCAGTGGCTGTCGGTTTTAACCACAGTCGGTTAGCGTCGTAGAGAGAGGGGTCATAGAAGAGCGTAGACTATCAAAAGGGCGCACACACCCGGGGGGAAACCGTAGGGGCGATACTCTCCGCGCATTCCGCGACCAATGAAGCCAGCTGTAGGTCTGTCTTCTAATTTCTAATGGGATAAGTAGTTGGGCCAATAAATCATCAAAACAAATACAATCATTTAAAATGATCTCAAGGAAGGTCATATTACGCTGACTGTTGAATCGCGGTCAAGAAACCGCCAAACAAAAACTTGTGTTTTCAGAAGCCGATTTCTGCGTTAGGCGTGTTCGAAACGCTGCTAACCAGTATCCCTTGTAACTGGCTCATGCTCTGCCTTTGATGGTGCTTCGCGATGGCGAGGGCGAGTAGTCCAAACGCGGTGCAGAAGACACCGGAAAGCGTCAGAAATCTTACCATATCGCTCAGGGCGCACTTTCGTCGCAGGAATTTCTCAATTCTCAGGGGATTGGCCTTCCTTTCACAATAGAAGTGTTCCCCATTCTTCAAAAGCAAAAAATTGTGCCACCTGCTTTTATCAGTGAAGTGCCTGCTTTCCGGTCCGTCTTGTATTTATTACGTAGCCTTCTAAGTATTAACGACTATTAAGATTTATGGATAACCAGTGATCTAGAAAATGCCATCAACAGCCGTGCAATTTCTTGCAGACGTCTTTGGGAGCTGTTCCAGACTCGAGCTCTTTGATGACGGGATCCAGATGCTCGTTTATATACTTCTCGCATTCCTTGCCGGCCATTGGGAATCTTGAGGTCCTTCTTGCAATCTTCGTCGAAAGTCCTGTCATGAAAAGTACTTCTACAGTGTTGCCTAATCATTCCCCTCAGCATACAGTAGCTCAAGACAAACCTTTCTCAATTGTTTCCGCATCTTTTCCAAGTTCTGGAGCAGCAGTGCGTACAGCCTTCTCACACATCAAACACTCAACCACACTGTTTCGTGCCGGAGGAATCATGAACGCCAAGCAGGCTGTGGAAAGAACGACCAGAAGAAGTAGGCAGCGCATCCTGAAAACTTTGCTGTAGCTTGATTTATCACTTGAAGTACCCGCGACAAAAAATTCAGGATTTGAGGGTGTTTGTTTTTACTTCAATGAGAATGAAAATGGTGGAAATCCAAAGAAGTTCTGAAGAACGTTCCATATGGCACTCTCATCAGAAGTCTAGAAGACGATGGAGAATGCAATTCAGTTGAGATGCTGCATAATCCTTAGAGGCCTTTATCGCGATAGAATGTAATAGCGAGGTACAGTTACGGAAAAGCAGGTCTAGGTGAACTTCTTGAAAGGAGAAAAAGAGAGGGCACTCCTCCCCTTTCTCCCAAAACCCTTAGCAACATTTTCTCAGGCCATTGGACGAAAAGGAAAGGCGGGGAATTAAGCAATGTGGTGCCGAAGCAAGACAATAGGCTCAAGGACCCAGGTTAGACGAGAAAACTACACACTAGCGCGTTTGATACGCTAGGTAACGTAGATATTTGATGTGCATAGACGAATTCAATCTTTCCTTAGCGTCCTTATCACTCGGTTTAGTTACGAGAAAGGCACAATTCCGGCAATACGGACCATGCCACCCCATTCATGGGGAGGTTATCCCAGAAAATCAAATCGAAATTGCGTAATGTGCCTTGAAGGAAAAAGGCTTTCTGCAATGTCAGTAGCCGATTACGAGGCAACCTTCAAGACGTAGTATGAAAATGAAAGATCAGAGTTGAAAATGCCATCGAAGATCGTTTGCGAACAAAAGACATTAGCGTAGCACCCGGCGGCGGAGATAACGCCAGTCACAGCTTCCTTACTATAAATTTTTTCGCATCCGTTTCGAGGTTTTGATAACGAACGCCGCATGTGGACCGATCAGCCCCGTCGGCGAAGGACCTGCGAAAGTATGGCATTTTGGTCTTAAAACTATAAGCAGAGATACAGAAATACATACAGAGAAACTATAAGCAAATGGTGCAGTGAACAGTGGCTGGCTCCCACAAACAACGTCGCTTCATTTTTGGGTTGCTGCCCTGAACAGCAGGGGCGGCGTCGTTGACCGCTCTCACACTAGTGCTGGCATTGTGCACTGGAAAGCCTGCAACCGCGCTCTGACGCAAACGTGGGTTACGGTATACATCCTATGTTCCTTAACTTATAATCTTGTCTAGCATCCAAGTAACGATTTCCAACGTAGGGAAGTGACGCACCTCTGCACTTGCGTACCTGGCGCTTCTAGCCACTAAAGGCTCATTGAGTGGGTTTGCGCCCAAACTTTGCCTTTTAGATGGACGGCGACAGGCCGATCAGATTCCACTTATGCTGCCATGATCGAAGTAAGCAAACC